GCCCACGCAGCGAGCGCAGCGACAGATACGCCGCCTTAAGGAGCTGTTGAGCATAGCGCGTCAGGATCTGGAGGCAAAGGATACGGAAATCTTGCGTTTAACGCGCGAAGTCGTCGAGCTGCGCCTATTCAAGGCATCGCTGAGTTCGCCCGAGGAGCGTTCGGCCTCCTCGGATGCGGTAACGGTGCGCGAAGCCGAGCTGAAGACCTCCCAGGACGTCTCGCCCATTGTGGACATGGTGGATGAGGCCAAGTGCAGTCCACGTCATCTGGCGCGCCAGCATCAGCAATTGCAGGCGATGCAAATGTCCACTGAGATGCAGAGCTCGTATGCCGACTCGGGGCACTTCGAGGATCTGACCATGTCGTCGGTGCACTCGAAGGACTCGCAAACGCAAAGCGATACGCCCGAAGAGGCGGCAGCCGAGGCCGCGGCGGAGGCGGAGGCAGCGGCCAGCCACTTGGAGAACTACGAGCTGCAGCGCCAGGAGCTGATTCGCATGTACGAGCACCGCATCGAGGAGCTGATACGCACCCAGGACGGCGCCACGAGCGACCTGAAGCGCTCGCACAACGACAAGGTCGAGGCGCTGCTCCAGAAGCTGGCCGAGTGCAACACTCGATACTCGGACATTGTCCCGGACTATGAGCATGCCAAGCAGCGCATCCGCGAGCTGGAGAAGCAGCTCGAGGACCTGCAGCGCAAGCTGGTCGAGCACGAGGAGAAGCAGAACAAAATGTACTTGCATATGTATCAGCAGGGGCAGGAGGCAGAGCGCATTTCGCGCGCCGATCAGGTACAATGAATATTGTGAAGAGACTCAAGAAATGTAGCATTACAATATGGGAACATTGAGATCGGAGAGGGTTTGAGCTAACCATGCGTCGAATATGGGGAAATTTTTTGATTTCCTCATATGAATATTGGATTTTATGATAACGCATCCCTATTACCTTATTATATAGTCAAATCGTAGTATGGGAAGTGCTACCTTAAACTTGGGGAAATACTAAGATAAAAAATATTAGAATATGGGGAAATTTCACTCATGTTCATTTGAAATGTAATACATGGCCTATGCCAAATATTGAAAACAAATATCCCAGCAGTTAGGAGAGCCTTGCTAATATTAGAATATAGGCAAATATTGATATACTATATAGTACTATACTTCTAGAAATTATATATACATTTAATTTGAATGAAAATATTCTAATGTTCCATTCCACTGTTTCGCAGGCAATGGAACTGGCACAGCGACAGCCCGATAGCAAGGTGTCGATCAACGAGCTGCTGCATCAGCTGCAGAGCACGCAGGACGAGCTGGAGAATATACGCGTAAGATTCTTCAATATCTTTCTAATATTATTTTCGGTTTTGTTTTGTGTGTTGCATTTTGTTGCATCATGAACTGAGCGACTCATACAACAAACATATTCCACACTCGACATATAACAACAACTACAAGAACAACAACAACACCAACACACAATCAACAAGCAACATAAAACATTTGAGTATCATTTTAGGGCGTGTTCCATTTCAATTTGGCGCTTTGCCTGGCTGGAAAAGCTGCATTTAATTGAGATGCGCGTCGACATTTTATTCGATTACATTTAGTTTAATTACAAGAAATATTTAAGCTTAAGTAACATAATTAATTACATCATTCTTTTTGGCAATATTCAAGTCGATACATTAAATGAGCAACATTTGTTTTTGTTTCAATCACATCGACGTTTTTGTGTTTCTTTGATTTGTTGCGCTTGTTTCATCTAATACCATTCCGTTCCGTTCCGTTGCGTTGCGTATTCAAGTAGAGCGAATTAAGTACAGTCACAACTTAGAGGATGAGTGCATGAAGTACAGTTGCCGCAAAAAGTCTTTAGTTTCCAATTTTACTATTATTTCCAATGCATGTTTTACAGTTATAACTTCTCTCTCTGTCTCTCTATATATAACTATTGTCTATTGAAAATTTGTTTAAAAAAATGTTTAATTTAATTTTCTATATCTATCTATATATATTGTCGTGTAACCGATAACAAAAAAAAAAAAAAAAATTCGAAAATCAATATCGAACAACAAAAATCGAAACTATTTTTGTAGGCATCAGAGTGTAGAATGAGGGAATGCGGCAGTAATCAAGCTCTCCTTACGGCAAAGGAGGCCATTTCTTTGTGGGTACTTGGCGCGCGTAAGGTTTGTAATATTCCTAAAAAAACAACAACAACAACAATAATAATTTCCCTTCCCTTAACAATTTGTACCTAAATCCCCAATTAGTTTCTTTAATTTATTTGCAAAATTTATGAGAATAACTAAAATTATTTTTATTTGTTTTTCACTTTTCATTTTCATCTTCATTTTCTGATCATTGGCTAATGGAACATATTTTGGCAATTCATATTATACCTAACCTCATTCACATGTGCGCCATTTCATCATGCGTGGTAAAAGGTAAACGGTGGCATTCTGGCGGAGGAATGAGTGGAATAGAACAAGAAATGCAACAGCTGTTCATTTTTAGCTTGCTTCACTGAAACTTTGGTAGTCCCCATTTTGTTTCCATTGGAAACATTGCAGAATCCTTTCGATTGAGGTGGTGTTTACATTGGGACTAAGAAATCACGTCTATTTTCTCTGAAAGCATGCAATTCAGGTTATATTTCCCAAGTGCTGTAAGGACCCAATTCAGGGCCTACAGTGGTTCCACGGCAGTTTGAACTTGTTTCCACTGGAAGCATTTCATTCAGTTGTGGGGTTAGGCAATACGTTTTTCTGGCCTTAACCTCAAAAAATATTAATGTTTTTCTTTTAGTGGTAACGAGAGGTATGTTCTCTTCATACATGTATATATAATCTATAATACTTTATTACATAAACGAGGGTAGTCTAAAAACAATTGAAAGTGTGTATACATTCTATTAAATAAATCAAAATATACATTACATTCTGAAAATATAAATACATATATATTACATTAAAAATAAAATAAAAAATAAATAAAAAATAATAAGTAAAATTATTTTTCCATGCTCCATATTTTTTTTTTTAAATATGATTTTTTTAAAATCTGTATTATTAGTATTTAATAATTTATTTAAAAGAATAAAAATAAAACCAAAAATATATATTTAGCATATCATGATGACTAAAAATTTATTAGAAGAAAATAAAAGCATTCAAGACTACCCTCTTTTATATTTACATAATTTAGAATCTTACAAATGCTAGTTTTGTTAGCTGTTTCGTTGCTGTTGAGCAACTATTACTGAAAATTTACAGAAGTATAGCTATAAAACCCAGATTTGTATCCATTACTTAACATATTTAGCATGTATTTCTCATATAAAGTTCCCATAGACTCCATAAACTCCACAATCTATATAACATTTCCCACCCGCCCTAAATTCCTACCTCAAATATATTCTATGCTAAATGTTCATATATCATATCATATATATATATATATATATATATATAAATATATATATCTATATAGCACCGATGATTCAGAAAAGAATTATATGTAAATATTACAATTATTTTTTTAACCTAACCTCACATTTCATATATATGTATTTGCTTAAGCTTTTATATGTTTACTAATACAAAGCGTTTCTTATGCACTATCTCTCGCTCTCTCTCCCCCTCTCTCTCTCGCACACACCACCGACTAACTCAATAATCAATATAGACGATCTATCGACGTCTGTTGGAGGCGCAAAAGAATCGCACCCGCGTCGATCCTGAAGTAACGCTGCAATTCCTGAAAAGCGCCATTTTCTATTTTCTAACGGACAAGGAGAACTCGCAGGGCCATCTGCAGGCGATCGAGAGCATTTTGGAGTTTACCGAGGAGGAGAAGGCGAAGATAAATCAAGCGCGATCTCCAAAGTAAATGGTCGTATATATATCTGTAGATATATATACATATATATATAATTAAATTTAGATTTTAATTTAATTTTCATTCTTTTTGTAGAATTCGCAAAATAATGTTACATTTTTTTAGTGCAGCTAAATTCATTGTTTTGTGTCTTTGTTCAGTTCGCGAATTTATTTACAATTTTATTTTGTCATGTAAAATAATTTTGATAAATTAAAGACGTACCGTTATTTTTCGGCGGCAACAACGAAAAAATATTGTAAGAAAGAGAAATGGAGAAAAAATGTCGAAGCAAAATCTTAATAAGGCGCTTTTTTATTTATACAATTCGTTTTAAGCATGATATGAGTACGTCCTATAGCAAATGCCCAGTGCATTATAAAAATAATATTTTAAATATATAATATTTTAATGCAAAACAAAAACGGATTTAGTTTTTGGTAGGCCCGGTTTGTCATTTGTAATTGGGCAAATAAGCAGAGGCATATATAGTTTTGATCGTGTTGCAGTGAAATTTTACTCATTAATAAATGATATATTTATTAGTTAAAACTGTTTTATTGATTTCTTTTTTAATAATACAAAATGCCTTGTCTTGTCAGAAGTAAACATTTTAAAAAGCGCGGCATAAAAACACAATCGATAAATGCCAACAAATTTACTTTGCTCTTTTTTGCGTCAATAAGCGCGCATTTGAACTCAGTGCGGTGAGTATCGATATGGATTTGTCGTAACAGCTGATTCAATTAATTTTATAAAATGTAATAAATAACAAAGGAAAATAATTATTTCTTATTACAATTGATAAACTCTTGTATTTAATATTGATTAGATAAAATGAATAAGCTATAAAATATCGTATTAGATCCAGCTCTTTAAATACATATGTATCAGCATATGGGCCGCGTGTTGCTTGATTTTCCCGCAACATTTACGTCGAGTGCGGTCATAACTTGCACTTGTTCGCACTCTTCCATTCACAGCAGCTGGCCACATGTTGCCAAGCGAAAAATACCAGGGCTACAGCGCTGTCAACATGCTGCCACCCAAGTTGCATCAACATAGAGCTGCTCTATCGATGTATCGATAATGAGTTGGGGTTTTTTCACTCATTCTTTTCTGATTCAACAAACGGTGCGGACGCGTGGCGTGGTCTGTTTTGTATGTATTTAATAAAATAAATAAAAAACAAATTAAACGCTTTTGTTGAAATACGGCGCGTACGACGTGTACGCCAGCAAAAAATACACGCGAAAGTAATTTAAATACAACTTACGCACACCCCAGGCAGCAGTCGAGCCGGCGCTACGACAGCAACCCGTTTGTTTATAAAAAAAAAAAAAAATATTAAAAAAATTAAAAAAAAAAAAAAAATTGTAATTTTAAGTGTTTCAAAGTGAGTTAAATTTTGCAAAAAATATGATATTTCGCATTGTGAAGATTTGATAACTAATAAAAGAAAATAGGCAAAGTGCCACACACACATCCATACATAAACACCGCTATTATTGTGTGCGTTTGTATTTGAGTGCGCAGGCACTTGATACCTACTACACGAAATAAGAAAGAGAAAAAAATTACTACACACGCTCACACACACACCACTGATTGTAGTTGTAGTTGTAGAAAGTGCGTCGGGCGCGTTTTCGCATCCAATTGCAGCGCGTAAATAAGTAAATAATCCGGGCAAATCGCGTGCACATTTTATGCTCTGCCTCAGCTGCTGCTTCTAACATTTTCGTGTGCTTCACAGGAATTTCCCCTGCCAGAGACTCCAACAGCGACGCCGACTGCGCAACGTTTAAGGTAAAAATAAAGCAACGTTTTTCTCCTCTTCTCTCTTGAGTTTTTGTTTTAGTTAATTTTTATTGCTAATCTCTTTTCGAGTGCGTTTACATTGGTATTTTTGTTGCATTGTCTTGAACTTGATTCTGATTGGAGGTCGCTCAATTAAACCGGTTCGCGGCTGATTTCTCTCCTCTCCCCTCTCTATGCAACCAGATGCTCATCTCTAATTCAAGCGGTTGCAATTCTGCTTTTTGTTGGTTTTTCGCCCAAGTTGATGTTGTGTTTGTTTGTGTGTCTTTTAGTCGACGCAGGTTTTTCTTTTATCTGCTCTGCACCCATTTGCAGTCGCTTTTATCGTCGTTTGGGGGACATTGTAAATGCGTTTGTTTGCTTTTTTTTCCTTCTCCATTTGCCTTTTATCAACTCAACCAACTGGCCGGCGCACAGTGGCACCAAATGCATTAAGGCCGCTTTTTGCGCTGTAATTAATGTTAAGTGCTCATCCCTCATCGCTTGCCCACCTGAGCGAGCAGTATCAAAGTGGTGAAGTGGGGTGGGGTGGTCCGGTATTGTGGGAGCCTCTGCAAGTACTGGAAGTGCTGATTGCATTGCGAATTATTGCAGTTACACTTAGAGAAATACTGAACGACCAAAAGAACCTTGAACTTGTACTTGTAAAGTTAATATATAAACTATTATCGTTATAAATATCTAAAATAAGATAAATATTCCAATATCATGTATGTAAATTATCATATTTACTATACTATAGATATACTATAGATATCACTTTTAATTATATATGTACTTGCAACTGGTTGTACGCCCAAAGTTGGATAAAATTATAAAGAAAAATAATAATATATATTTCATTTTACCTCAAATAAATATTCTAATACATTCACAAAAATCCCCATATTATGTACTCTTATACTGCAAGTATAATTTCTAGCTGGAATACTGTATCAAGGAAATTTCAAAATAAGTCCATATCACATATGCAAATATCGATAATAACTGTTATACAGGAATTTGGCCGAGTGTATGGAAATTTTCCGACTATAGCCAGCAGTTAGCCCGAAGTACTTAATTGCCTGCCTGGCCAGCTCTGCAGCTTTACCAGCTTGCCTGTTTCTCCAGTTGTTGTTGCTGCTGCTTGCTAATGCTGTTTTCTGACCAAATGAAGCTATAAAGTGGGCCATGGCGCACTGACCACAAGCAGATAACTAGCCACATTTAATGTGCCCCGATCGTTGTTGCAATGTCCAAAGTTGTACAAGAGAAAGCTATCAAAAGCGCGAAAATTCCCCTCAGACTCAGGCACTAAAACTACACACACACACAGAGATAGAGAGACTACTACATGGCACCTGCAATAACAGTTAGTGCTACAGCAGCACAGGCACAGATGTGATGCTCTCTAAATTTCCCCACAGTCCAACTGCAGCTGTTTTTACAATACTGTGTAGAAAATGTCATTTGGTACTTTGCACATAAAAAATATGAATGAAATATGAGAACTTTACTAATTTTTAAAGGTCGTTTGCCGTTAGAAGTTAGGGTATTAGCCAAATGGTTCATGGCAGATAAAAAATTATTAATTTTTTGATTGCTTTTAGCGTGTTATTAAAATTATGAAAAGCAAAAGAAAATGGAACAGAATTGAAAGGCGAGAAAACAATTTATGTTAACATTCAAAAGCTTGCAGCTACGAGGAGGAGAAGGAGTAGAATTCGTAGTAAGCGTTGGGCGTTTGACTTTGTTTCAAGCCAAATCTAGCGGCTTGATTTTGATTAATAGCAGATTTAGCCTTTATTTCATCGAATCTATAACTTTAAATTTGGCTTAAATATAATATATTTGCCAGAGTTATCAACCAATTTTCTAAAACATTTATTTTATAGCTAAGTAATGTATAGAATCTAAGGTAGCCTGATTTTTGGCTGCAAACTGGCTTCTTTTATTTCTGCTGCGCCAACACTGTTTGCACTTTACCGTTGCAGCAGGCGGCGCTATTCATCCTTTTCTGTTTTTGTTTCACTTCTCCGTGTGCCTTGTCTAGTTGTTGCTGCTTGATTGACTTCTCGTTGAGAAGGCCATCATCGCCATCATCATCATCATAATCATCAACAACTGCTAGGGGCTCTCACAGAAAACGTTAATCACTTTCAAAGCTCGCACATTGGACATTTTTTCTTAAATTTTTTGTGTGTTTTACTTGAGTTCATTTGTGCTTTTGCATACCTCTGTCCTTCTCTCGCTCTGCCTCATACTTATAATGTGGTATTGCCTTGGGAGTTTGGCTTGGCCTTAGCTGCACGCCCGCAACAGCAACAGCAACAGCAACAGTAACAACAACAACAGCAGCAGCAACAACAAATACGTTGTCAAGTTGGCGTCTGCTTTGGCTACAATACAAGCATCATTGGCCTTATTTCTTTTAAGCTATTCTCGTCGTTATTGTTGTTGTTGCTGCTGTTGCTCTTACTGTTTGCTCTGTCTGTCACTCACACAGACACAGCCACTGCCACACGCACACAGTCAAGCAACGACTTTTATCTACAGCTGACGTTGCCGCCTTCGTTTATTTGCACAGCTTTTACTCGACTTACTTTATTTCCCCACCCCCACCTCTCCCTCGCTGAATCTTTGTTCTTGCTGTCCATTTGCTTCCGAAAAATGATTACGCAGCATTTTCAACTAGCAGCAGCCACTTTGTTACTTGAGAACTTTACTCAAAACCCACCCGCCCACTGCCCTCCTCGTTCTCTCTCTGCCTCTCTCACTTGCTCTCTTGCGACTTGATCACCAACAAAATCGTTTTCTTTTGAAGTTTCCAAGCGCTCTTTTAGTTTCTATTTTTGGCGGACAAAAAAAGTTTCACAAACGAAAAAAAAAAAAGTTAAATTAAAATGTATAAACGTAGTTAATGTGGAGTGCACACAAAAGAAACGACATTTTTTTATTGCCACATAATAATTTTTATTTTTTCATACAACGCGCTGCCGGCTGTCATTTTCGTTGTTGTTGTCTTTTACAGAGTGGCTAACGTTAACAGCTGTGACACTTACTTTGTGTTATATTTTGACTTGCAATGTGAACGTGTAAGGGAATTTATAGCTATTTCAAGTTAACGTAAGCAATAACAGCGCTTCAGTTGCTTAACATGGAAGCTAACATATACATGTTAATATGCAGTAAATTAGATTTAGATGTAATACAGATGTATATATTAACATATATATGTTAATATGCTGTAAATTTGATTTAAATGTAATGCATATGTATGTATATTTAATTGATAGGTCCACATCGTGTCATGTTATGTTAACATTATGGGGAAATATGTATAAAAACTGCATTTTCTTTCTGAACACTGCTGACTTTAATCTACATTTGATATTCAGGAAAGTTTCCAGTATATTATGACTTTCAGAATTATCAAAAACTTCTTGCGTATGTAAATATGCATGCACAGTTCATATTTGACATGACTTACTTCATTATTTATGATAATATGCTCTTCGAGACTTAAAATAGTTGCTTCACAGAGTCGCATTAGCATTGGGAATGTGCACACCGAGAGCGAAAATTCTGTTTTACTTTTCTTTGCTTCAACTTTTTGTCTGTTTTGCTGTCTTTCGAATGTAGTCTAATGAATAAGGCTTGATTATTTATGAGCATAAATTAAAAATTTACAGCGCAACGCACACGAGAGAGACACACATACCTATATATATTTGTATATATATATACATACATACCTAATTCAATTATGCTGCAAATATTTCATATTGCAAAGCAGCAAGAAATTTATGAGCCATGCGTTGCTCGACGCCCCCTACCTAAGCAGCGACAGCCCCAGGGCCAAACGTAGCTGTACTTGACAAAGCCCTGGAGTTATAGCAACAACAACAATAGCAGCAACAATGTCAGCCATAACAACAACAACAACAACAAAAGCAGCAGCGGCAGTGACGCGTAGTCAACGCCAACGCCAACGCAGCAGCCAGCGCAGCATTTTTGCCAAGGTTGGCAGCGTTGGAGTTGCAGTAGCAGTAGCAATGACAACAACAACAAGAAGGGGAAGCAGAAGAGAAATAGCGATAGCCGTAGCGAACCCATAAATGTTGATCAACTGTTGTTTGTTTTATGGCTGTGGCTATGGCTGTCACTGTTGTTGTTGCTGTCACTGTTGTTATTGTTGTTGCTATTGTTGCTGCTGCTGCTGCTGCGGCTGTTAACTATTAGCGCGTGAAACGCCGCCACGCAACTAACAAGCGGAAAAAATCTTTGCAGATAGTCGTAGCCAGAAAGAGAGCGACATATTGAGAGGGCGCCCGAGGGGTGTTCATTAAGTAATTAGTTCCACTTAATATGCTAAAATATGTGTGTCATATGTGCTATCAAAGTTAACAATGTGACAATGTTTTGATGAGGAAACTATGTTGCAATTGTTCACTTAGCGAGGCGCCAGGAATTAACATTTAGGTGTCTGCGAGCTGGTTCATTAAAACGAACTAGTGTAAATATACAGCTGAATAAACATGACAGCTACATAGAAGGTTAACAAGTTTTTTATGTGAAAGGGAACCTGTTCCTTAAAAAAAACCTGGCCAAGTTCCTTAGTTCCTTAAAATGAACTAGAGATCGATATAATTCACTCCTTCATTCGACTGAAATAGTCAACATATCCACCTGAGTACTAGAATGTCGCATCTAGGGTATGATACGAATAAGCTAGTGAACATATTAGTTGAAAGAATATTCTGAATATTTAGGCTTTTAAGGTGATAGAGAACTGGTCCATTAAACTGAACTATTCAATCTTTACGAAAAACCTACAAAAGATGCATCTTCCTTTTTTTCATTTTTAAAAAATCAAGCCATATATGTCTGTAAAAGGTATTGGTAAAAGGTTTTGACAACATTTTGAAATCATGTTTGAGAATTCGCCTAACATTGTTCCGCACTCAAGTGTATGAGCTAGTTTGCGTCACTAGTTCCTGGTTCTCATA